GAGGAAGGCACTAATGCCTTTGTGCTCTAGCCATAAAAGATTGTTGCACACTGGCATATCCCAACCAATTAATACCTTTCATATTACAACAAAGCAGAACCATCAATTCAGATGTATGGCGTTTAAACTGGTGTTGGTGCATGTATTAACAAAATGTTTTACAAATGCATGCTCATTTTAGAAAGGTAGTTATACCAGGTAGAGAGCTGCATGCTTTCATCCCTGTGGATGAAGATTTGTTAAAAATTTTGACATAAGATGAAAATGAGTTGTTTTTCCTCAGCTCTTAGGAACTGAAAATTCTTGGTTGTTGTTTAAATTAAATATATACTTTTATCTTACTTTTCAGTAGTTTGCATATATTGCCTCAATTCTCTTGTGTCAAATATAGACTCAAAACTGTTGTTGACAATCTGCAAGAAAAAGTAAGTTTAAACAAGACTGACAGGATTTGTCAGCTTTTATGCTATTTCTGATACTTAGATATCTTGGTTTAGGGGAGAATTATTATGTGGATAGTGAAATACTGAGTCAGTTCTCTGCTGTCAAAGGTCTTTCAAAACTCTTGACTACACATTTACCCTCAGCTCTGTGCCCTGTAGCAACAAAGGTGGAAAATTCTGTTAAAAAGGTAACATTGTTCCAGGCAAAGAACAGTATGGTTGAAGGTCCCACCTGAACCTGGAACGTGGATTTACCACTCCCGCTTCGGAAAAATAGTAATGAGAAATACTCTTTCCTTGATAAAGGAAAACCAGAGATTCAGACCTTCTAGAAAGACGTTTTCTCAAAAGCTGGTTCTGGTTCAAGAAAACAGTCAGGCTACCATAATTTATGTTGTTGGCAAGAGTTGGAGTCATGACACCTGCACTAAGAAAGCTCGGGATGGGATACTGGGCAGTCTCTCATAAATCATGCAGCTTGCCAGCTGCCTGTCAGAGGAGGAAATCCTGCATGCAAATTTAGACTCACACAAGTGGTTGCTGGATCCAGGGGCTTGTGGATCAAGCCTTCCAATCCACCTTCAACTCCTTGGCATTATTCTTCCCAGCTAGTGCTCTTCTCTTGAGAAACACACCTTTGTAACTTGGGCAGGAAAAGTTCATAAGTCTGATTTCTAAATAAGAAAGTGCAGCAGTAAAGTGCCAATCCACTTTGTTGTCATATGAATTCAGTATATCATATTAAAATGAATGGCAGATAATGTTTTCAAAATGGGATATCTCTACTTAGATGCTTTAAACTAAATTTAGATACGTGAATAAAATTAGTATGCCTTTCAGGAGAACTTGGCAAATCAGTTCTCAACTGAAAGTTTCCATCTTGTACTGGCTCTGACTGCAATAGAGAGATAGCATACTAATAACTCACTTTCTTCATAGCTGACTGCATGATGCTGTGTTTTAAATTTGTGGCTAAACCAGAGTTGATAACATGCCCATGTTTTGGCTGTTGCTGAGCAGTGTTTTAGCAGAGACAAGGCTTTCTCCTTTTTCCACTCTGCTCCCTCCATGAGTAGGCTGGAGACAGCAGCTGATTGGAAGGTGACACAGCTTGGACAGTTTACCCAAGCTGTCCAAAGGTATATGTCAGACCATATAACATCATGTTCAGCAATAGAAACTGGGATAGATGAAGAAGAGGGGGTTTGGCTTCTGAGGTAGCTTCTGGAGACTGGCTGGGTGTCAGACTACATATGAGAAGTGGTGAGCAGTTTCCTTCCTTCATTTCACTGTTTTTTTTGGGTTTTTTTAAATGCTTTCTTCCATCTGCTGAACTATCTTTGTCTTTACCCAGAGGTTTTCTTGCTTTTGTTCTTCCTATTTTCTCGTGTTACCCAGCTGTGGTCTGGCAGTAAGCAGCTGTATGAGTGTTTGGATGCTGGTAGGGGACAACCCACCATACACCTGTGCACTCAGATATTTCCACTAGATTGAGAAAGAAAAAAATAGAGAAAAATTAAAAAAAAAAAAACCTAACATGGCTCTCGTAATTTTTTTTTTTTTCCCTTCATAAAAGCTTTCCATTAATGGCTCAAGCCATGTGTTGTGGTTTAAGCCCAGCCAATAACTCAGAACCACACACCCACTTGCTCACTCCCCCATTTCTTCCCCCAGGATGGGGAGGAAAATCAAAAGAATGTAAATCCCACAGGCTGAGATAAGAACAGTCCAGTAACTAAGGTACAATATAAAACTACTACTGCTACCACTAATAATAATAATGATAAGGGGAAAAACAAAGTGAGATAATATAAAACTACAAAGAAAAGAAAAACCAATAAACACAAGTGATGCACAGTACAATTGCTCACCACCAGCCTGACCCAAGCAGTGATCTGTGCCTTCTGAGTAACTCCCCCCAGTTTATATACTGGGCATGATGTGCTGTGCTATGGAATACCCTTTTGGCTAGGTTGGGTGAGGTGTCCTATCTCTGCTTCCTCCTGACTTCCCTTGCTCCCTGCAGAGGATGAGAGACTGAAAAGTGCTTGATCAGAGTAAGCATTATTTATCAACAACTAAAACATTAGTGTGTTGTCAGCACTGTTCTCAGTCTAAAGCCAAACACAGTACTGCACCAGCTACTAGGAAGGAGAAAAACTGTTACAACTGAACCTAGGGCACCATGGTTTCTAATTCTAAAGACAAATTAATTTCTTGTAATGCAGACTTTTCTCGCAGTATGTTTTATTGTTATGCTTTTCTCTTTATTTATTTGCTTATTGTTCTGTGTAAGAAAGCTTTCTGGAAATCACCTGTTTCTGGGCAATTTGAACACAAAGCATCATTATGCATGAAAGGATGGCATATACTAGAATGGGGATGTAACTAAAGCAAGCAAACCTTGTGCTTTAAATGCAGAAAGGCACAGATTTTTGCAGATCTGAGTAACGAAGATACATGTGACTGTCTGAGTAAATAAAATTCCATTTCTTGCTAAGTTGAAATGTCTCCACAGAGAAAACAAAAACCTAGGAAAGCTGTGCTTTGTCACTTTTTGTATTGAGGTAATTCCTTCTGTGTTCATGGTATCAAAGTATCACTGAATTCACTGTGCCCCTACAGGCCTTGCTAGCTCTGATTAAGTTAATCTGCATAAGCATGAAAGTAACAGGGAATATATGAGGAAGGGAGGCAAGGAAAAAAAAAGAAAATCCCTCTCCAAGAGAGGAAGTAATTTGCTCATGGCAAAGTGCACCTGAAGAGGCTTGTGGCCAGTGATGATTTGGTGGACTTCTGCTTGAGTGACCTTTAGAAAGATAAAAAAGAAAGGATGGGATACTGGAGTGTATAATCACCATACCTTAAGATAGCTTTTCCAAATATAAAGTTATGTAGACACAGATTCTAGATGGCTGAAACCCTTTGAAAAGTCCTTGATCCAAAAAGAACACATTTTATAAATTAGGTGTGAAAAAATCATTAAAAGAAGCAGAAATAGGATGGTTTGAGTACCTTCCAAAATGTTTTTTCCCCTCTTCTTCAAAGGAAAACACATTCTTATAGAGTTCTTGTTATGTTTTGTTTTGAAACTACTGTACTTTAGTTAAAGTTTTGTTAATCATAGAACCATAAAAGCATAGAATAGTCAGGGTTAGAAAGGACCTTAAGATCACCTAGTTCCAACCCCCTGCCATGGACAGGGACACATCCTAAATTATTCATTCTTTTCAGTATTAACTTGGTTTAATTATTATGATAATGTCATTTGTAAAAAATTCAGTCACTTAATTTTAGCCATCTATATTTTCATGTGAAAAGTAAGCATCCTGTAGGAAACTTGTAAAAACCTACCTGTTGTGATTTTCTTAGTGTTATTAAAATACATGGTAAAATACCAGTTCATCAGGTATATTATATATATTTATATATTAAATAATGTTAAAGAAAAGTATCATTTATAATTCTAAAGCTGAAGAAATACGTTTGCATGTATTTATGTAAAAAATATTTTCATATGTGTCCTGGGTTTAGCAGTAGCAGTTATTTTTCTCCTTCTTAGTAGCTGGTGCAGTGCTGTGTTTTTGACTTTCAGCCTGGGAACAGCACTGATAACACCGATGTTTTTAGTTGTTGCTCAGTAATGTTTACGCTGACCAAGGACTTTGTGGGCCTCATGCTCTGTCAGGGAGGAGGGGAAGCCGGGAGGAAGCAGAGACAGGGCACCTGACCCAAACTGACCAAAGAGGTATTCCATACCACAGCACATCATGCCTAGGATGTAACTGAGAGTTACCTGGAAGGGATAGTTCACTGCAGGGTTAGACCAGGTATCGATCGGTGCTCAGTCAGGCAGGGTGGGGCAAGTTATCGGTCGGCGAGTGATGAGGTTGGTGTATTCTCTTCCCTTGTTATTTCCTCTTATCATTACTATTATTGGTGGTAGCAGCAGTGATTTGTGCTATACCTTAGTTACTAAACTGTTCTTATCTCAACCTGTGGGAGTTACACTCTTTCTGATCCTCCTCCCCATCCCTCCGGGAGCAGGGGGAGGGCAAGAAAGCGGGGGTGGGGGGTGAGAGATACTTCATGGCTGACTGTGTTTAAACCATGACAGTATGATTCTGATATATACTTTTAAATTGGAATATATTTCACTATAAATGATATTTGATTTTATTTCATTTTGTTTTGAGGAAGTGAATATCGGTGTATAGGTAGAAGGGCAAATTCTTAAGTGGCAGGCTTCTCAGGGATGGTAGTATTGTTTCTTGATAGCTGAGTTGTTCTGTGTTGTTCTCACGCTTCATAAATATGTTCTGCAAATATTGCAGTTACTACTTGTCATATTTATTGCATTTTTTTCTATATTTACAACATTTTTAAAGATATTGAAATACAGAGTAGATCAAACAATGACTAAATATTGAATCTTAGACATCTGGGATTTTTTTGTTTGTTTGTTTTGTTTTCTAAATTCCTTTTCCTAACCGTATTGTCTGAGGTATTATCCATCAGTTGTTTTTTGTGGGCTCACATTCATGAACTACATTGCAGGTCAGTTCCTCCTAGAAGAATCCCGCCTGATAGAAGCAGCTGAGATGGCAAAAAAAGCAGCTGAACTGGATAATACAGAATTTGATGTTGTTTTCAATGCAGCCCATATGCTCAGGTTAGTGCTTTTGCATCCGCCTTACTTGATTTTCCTCCCCACTTTTAGGGGAATAAAAAAAAGTCATTACAGCTTTCGCTTACACAGGATCCTTTTTAAAGCCCAGCAACTCTTTTGAATAATTCAACATTGCGATTAAGATAAAAAGAATTGGACTGAAACTGTTGCAGGATTTAGCACTTTCTGATTTTCTGTGCTTTATCTTGTAACTTCTTACTTTTAAAATTTCTGTTCACAAGCAGTTAATCCTTTTTGCTCGCACACAAGAAAAAGTGGGGTTTTTGTGAAGAACCATCTGCAGAATTTTCTTTCACCTGATTTTAAAAAATTTAGATCGCATAGCATTTGAAAATACTAAGAGTGATCTGGGTGTAACTAGGGAATATTGAAAACACAAGATTTTATATTAATAACAGTAGGGAACAGTACAATACTTAGAAATCTAAATATTGCCATGCTAATTATGACTTTGAGACTCACAGGAGCACTTAGTGATGTTATCAGAATCTGTGATTTAATGTTTAGTGTTGTATTTAATCCTGTTGTCCTATTCAAATAGAATAAAAATTTAGACTACTTTTTTTTTCCTTTTAAAGCTGTCAGACCCAAATATGCAGTAACATTAAGCTTCTACCTGAATATTATCATTAAACTCACATTATGGTAATAAGTATCCTCCATGCTTATTTCTAGGATAACAATCTAATTATTGTCTATTGTCTGCTTAACAGCTACGAGGATGCTTGGTTTCATTTAGATTGTTTCTATTCTTAGAAAATTGATGAAAAGGGAAATAGAAATACAATTCATCATTATCACAAGCTAATTATTGAAATACTTTGTCTGATGAAGGTATCTCATTTGGCAGTTTATACTTTTAATACTTAGGATATGAAATGAAAATGGTACTAAAGAGTAGGTAGAATTGGCTTCAGCCAAGTGGCCTGTGTTTCAGAATGAATGTTTCTATATCAGGATTTTGAAATAAGACCCAAAATACCCTTTGAGAAGTAATTCTCACTGCTTGTAGATTAGAAAGGAAACCAAGACACATGGTTAACTGGTAAACAAGTTTGACCTCCCACAGGTATATGAGCTATTTTAAAGATCCTTCCCCCTTATTATTCTCTGAATTATATCTCTCAAGACAATAGAATTCAGTAGTTTGAAACATTTACATTAATGAAACAAATTCACTGACAGAAGCATAGCAAGTTAGGTATGAAAACTGAATCCAAAACAGTATAAAGTGTGCCAGTCTCCTGATTTCAGTGAGTATGTTGTGGAAGGCGGTTTCATGGTATGATTGTGGGTATCTTAAGATGTGGTGGCATAGATCAATATTATTTTGGGGATAACTGCAATAAGTCTCTTACTTCCTCTGTGAGCACTGAGTGAGGCATCCCAGGGTTTGAAGGTATGTCTTTACATTGGGATATGAGTTATTTTTTGACTCTCAGAGTAATAGCTATATGACTGTACACATCAGCCATGGTTACCCTTCTTGCTCTGGTTGGGAGTGGACACTTTTTGAGAGGCTTTGACCATCACTGAGCTCAGTGATTCTAAACTGTAAGCCCAAAACCAAAAAAGAATCTCTAAAAAAAAGAAAACCCATCAAACCAAACCCCTTAAAAACAACAACAAAAAATAAAAAAAAGGCCCAATGGTTTTGTTTAGCTAGAATCCAACTGTGGTCCTTAGGGATACCCAGTTGGTCTAATTTTTCACTTAAATGCTCATCTTTCTTTGTGGAAGATGATAATGCCTTCCTAATACGCTTTGGGAGTCTAAACTGGTCTGAAGGATTTAGCAAGAATTAGGGTGGCAAAGTGAAATTCAGTGCTGCCAAGTATTTGCTTAAAACCCTGTGTGTTATGATCTGTCTGATTTTAGCTAAAACATTATTCTGTTCTCTGCTTTTGTTCACTGCTTAGTAATTTATTCAATATATTGCTTACATAATACCTGCTGGACAAGAGGAATGTATATTCATACATTAGGACAAAGCAGCTACAAATCCATAATGAGTCTGTGGGACTTCAGAAGCTGATTTTCAAAATATTTAGAATGATGGAGAGCTGAGGTGATTCCAAGAGGAAAGCAGATACAAGGATAGAACAGAGGGAGGAAAGAAGGAAGTACTCAGACTGACATAGAGTGACACAACTCGAAACTGTGAGTGCTAACAGTCATAAATGAAAGGATAAAATTATTAAATATATTAGTTTCATGTAGGTGACCAACTGCTCTTTAGGGACCTTAAGAGAGCTATAAAAACTGACTAGTAAGTGAGTAAGAATTTCGAATGGACTGCACAGCTGTGAGGTAGAAAATACATTACAGAAGTTTACAGGGCAGGGAAGTGAATTCACTGTTGTGAGAGAGAAGGAATAAATTTTTAAATGTGTTGTAGAATAAGAGGTAGAAAACAATTTTAATGTGGATGGTACAAGGTTTCCAAAATGACTGGGAAGTAATAACTAGTTGTAATAGCAATTTACATTTGTGTGTAAATTCTAATTAATTTTTTTTCAGACCAAGTACTCTTTGCAGTGATGTTCTGCTGTAATAGAAATGAATCATCTTTCCTCCCTGTCATACTCCTGTTGCTGCCATTAGCCCAAGGAGTGTCACAGGATTCAGAAACATGTAGATGTTTCTTCAGAATTGCAGTCAAATTCTTCCAAACTTGGGTTACAGCTGCTTTGAATAAAAACAATCACAACATGCCTTCCAAGTCAATTATTCTTCTACTAAAATGTTTTTCTTTTCCTTTCGTTGAGAAAAAAAATTTAAATTAAAATGCAACCTGAATAAAGAAATATCAGTTTTTATAAATTTTTAACTGGTATGCTGCAGGTTAGTTTTATTTGGTTTGTTGAAGCTTTGTTTTTTTTTTAATTTGTAACAGAATTGTTAGCTGTGTCCAGATGCAGCTAAGTGTATTTATAGATGGTCTGTTCTCAGTTTAGCAGTCACAAGAAAGACTTCTATTCCTTCTGTCAGGTATTCTAACACTGTTTACTGCCTCTGTGACTAAATCTGAAACCGAAACCAAGAAAAAAACCAAGTTAGATCTGTATGCATTATTAAGACAACTCCCTGTTCCTAATTACACAAGCATAGTTATTATTTTTTTGCCAAGATGACTTCTGTTGGATCCTGCTAATGCAGCACCAGATGAATCAAGTCATCTGTAATAGGGGAGAGATATGGAATGAATGTAATTAATATCTTTGCAACAGTCTGGTAACTTATAACTTGCCTAATACTTGCCTGTAAATTTTGTTTTCTCAACATATTTGTTTTCTAGACAGCTTCATTCAAGGGTCATGTTTGGGTGGTTCATCTTGAAACAGTCACTGGTCATGTGTTTTACTTTTGTAGTGTTTGCTATGCTCTTTTGCTTATAGCAGTTTGAAGCCTTTTTGGCAAAGATACATTTTATTGGAATGTATATATTTGTAATGCCATTTGGTGGCCATAGTTTGTGTGACTAAGTTATGTATTAACAGTGCTAAGTTAAGTTTCACTTTTTATTTGTATACTGACGTGAGCTGCCATGAGATAGTTTTCCTGTGATCTAGGGAATGATTACTTTTAGAATGAGGAATGGCAGTGTGATGATACCACTGTACTAATCAGAAACAGGAAAAGAGCTTCACATTGTCTCCAAATGTGAACAAACACAGGAAAAAGAGCTTAGCTTACAAGCGTATTCTGTATGAACAATTGGTTCTTTTCACGCTTCTTTAAGTGGGTTGTTCTGGGAAGCATATTACATGAAGGTGCAGCATGCTTATTGGTTATTTGAAAACAGAAGTCTGAATTAGAGCAATACTACATGACATTGTCTTTGGTTTTCAGTGTCATTGTCTAAACAGACTTTGTTAATTCTTTAATTACTGCCCATGTGCTTAAATACTTATATGCACGTATGCATGACTAAGTTTATAGTCTACATAAATTTTGTAACTAGAGGTCTATGTAAATTTTGTAAACAAAGAATTTGCATGAAGATCTACATGTATAGAATATGATTATGATTTTGTTGTGTCACAAAAAGGTCCATTAAGAGTACTAAGTAGCAACTTTTTAAAATAGGAATCTCTTTGAAGATAGATCGTTATTGCTGGACTGACATCCATGATTTCACATTAAAAACGCCAAAACAGACTAAGGCCTTATACAAAGCAATAGGCAGGTTAAAATTCACTTTTTTATGTGTCAAAACCATTCAGCATTGATGGTATTTTTCTCTTAAAGCAATATGTTTTCCAGTGATCAGCAGAAAGATTTAAAATAAATGCAAGCTGAATGTAACTGGGTATCAGGAGACCCGAAGAGCAATGTGTTGTCAGGCACATTTATGAGGTGTCACTGGCAGTCAGCTGGAACAAAAACCAGGGAACTGTTAGGTCTGAAGGCTCAGGTTAAGACATATGAGAGAGTAAAAAGAAGAGACATTTTTGTCCCTTACAGTAAGATTGAATACTAGGTGTTAATGGATAAAATCAGATGTATTTTCAAGGTCAGTCCCCATGAAGAGATTTAGGATGCAGGTTAAAATATAACTTGCAACTATGAAAAGTACTGTCTTCCAGACTTGCCTTTGCTTCCTTTCTTCCATTCTGTGTAACTGTCAACATTTTATCTAATGTTTTACTCTAATATGAATTATGATTCCTTTAGTAGTGTCCTTCCATTGTTTGACATTGATCCAGGGCCCTTTACTGCTCAGTGGCGTGGGGTTACCACAATTTTCTGCCTCTGTGCCTTTAATTTTTCTCAAGGGAAAGCCATTCCAAGGCTTAACATAATGAATTTCTAGTTTAGATTTCCAGTGAAAATGGGAACCAGAATTTTGCTGTATCTTAACTAAAGGAGCTGTTGCTGAATGCCCCAGAAATGGAACTGGCATTTTCCTCACTGGTTTACTGTGGCGTGCATTCATTTCTATAAACTATTTTTAATGGAGAGCTATAATTTCAAACTGATTTCAACTGAGGAATTAATGATCCATGTTTCAAAATGTACATGTGGGAGGAAAGCAAGCCATGTATTTCCACTGGGCTAAAAGGATACAGGATTTTAATTTGTTCGATGTTCACACGCCAACACCACTTTTTGGAGGTGAAGTGTACCATCTGTATCTGCCTCCTCGGTAAGGCACCTTGTTTGTTCAGAATTTAACCATGTTCAGAAATGCTTTGTTTCCTGACAGCTTTGTGAAAACAGGAAAAAGAAGGAAAAAAAAAAAAAAAAAGCTCTGTGACATCTTTTATTTTTTCATTTTATGTGCCATGTAGTAAATCCTGAAATTTGGAAGTATAAGATTTCCCCCCGCCACCCCCCCAAGTCATTTCAAGTACTACTAATGCTCAGCAGGAGTGATTCAGAAATAGGTTAAATGACAGGTTAAATTTTTAGACATTCAGTCATTAGACGTTCCTAACCACTGGAACCACTGAGTCAATGATACATGTGCAAAGTAATTTAAAACAGTTAACAGGTATAAACCAGGTTCTACTTGGCAAATTTAGTCAAGAAATGGTTTCAGCTTGCACGTGAATTATGTGGGAAACTTCAAAGTGATTATACTTCTTCACTTTCTCCTCCCAAGACCAATAACTGTCAAAATGTGTTGATTGGGATTAATTACCTATCATGTATTATGTGGCTAATTTTAAAATTTGTATGGATGGGAATATAAAATTAGATGCAATTTGATCACTGAATAACAAAGCATGTAGAATCTCCTGTAATGAACAAGGTAAAATCTCCAGATACAAGTGCTCAGTTGATTGATTAATACACTGTGAACTAGTAACTGTTCCTGGAAGCAGAAAGAGAAAGAAAAAAATGAAAAACCAACCAACTCTACTCAGTGCTTAGTGCTATCCTTTTTTTCCAATTTTTCCATTATGTATCACAGAAATACATCTGCAATTGCATAATAAACACAAATAGGCTGAAGAACTCCTGTCCTAACTTCCCTATGAAGGGAAATAACTATTCATATAAAAAAAAAATAAAAAAGAGCAAATTAAAAGCAAATAACTTTAGCAGAAGATAGCCTGTCTGATAGTTCTGCTTGAATATTCTTACATATTTAACATGCTTCTCATGATGTGTATGTTTTTGACTGATATTTATTGGATTAGTAGCCAAAATGAATAGTTGGAGGGAAATTAAGAACAAGACAAAAGAAGAAGAGAGGAATTTGAGAGAAGAAAGGGGCCTGTTGAGACAAAAATGTGTTTGAATTTCTGTGGCAATATATTTCATTTTCATTTGAAGGCATTAAACTGAAAACTCAGGGGAACAAATAAAACTTAAACTAATATAGATGCCAACTATACTGATAGTGCTTCTGATACCCAGAAACTCATTTGATTCTCCTGGAATATGAGAACTAAGCTTAAATCCCCTCTCAGACTGATTTGCATAAATGTTGAAATCAAAACTCTACCTTCTGAATGAATCCCCTGCATCCTGAAAACCCATTTTTGAAAAATGAAAAATCATTGTATTCTCTGACTTTTTCTTTTCCTTTTCTTTTTTTTTTTTCCCTTCTGGAATAATAGCAGAGGCAAAATGAAAGGGACTGCATTATTGCATAATCTACAGCTTCATAATTTACTGTGAAAGTATGGCTAATTACAAAAAACAAGCCAGATTTTCCTGTGGTGGGGACTGGTATGTCTCTGGTTTTGTCTCAGCTGAGTTTTTTGCCTTCTTCATTTCTCTCCTGTGTGTACTTATATATTTTTAGAACTAAAAAGGAAATAAGGTAGGCAAAGAGAAATCTTTGGACATTCTGAGCTATAAAAAAATTCTTTCATATTGACATACTTTTTGCATTTGTTATGGTAATATCCTTAAACAATGGGGAGTAGTTGCAGTATTTTGGTTTTAGCTATGCTTTATTAGGTATGTTTTCTTCTTTAACCCAGGGAAAGTTAGGTATAACTGTATTGGCTTTTTCTGTCCTGATAGACAAGCCAGTCTCAATGAAGAAGCTGAGAAGTATTATGAAATGGCAGCAGGATTAAGACCTAATGTAAGTACATTCTTAATGTTATCCATTACGTAAATTGATGAACGTGCCACAGTGCTGAACCCTTTGTGATCAAGGAGAAACTTCAGCCTATATTATTTACGATTTTTTAATGGTTAGATATTGGATAGTCAGATAAAGCTGTTCATTTGTCAAACCAATCCCTATACTTTTAAATTACCTAAGTGAACTGTTCTAGCAACAAATATTACTTTGCTAACATAGTTGGAAAAGATTTATTTATATACCTTTAAGTGTGTTGAGTTTGGAAAGCTCTCCTAATTCCATCTATTTTCACTAGTAAAAGAGAATGAAAGGCCATTCTGTGGTCCACTGTATATGGTATTTTCAACAATACATTTTGCGCCTTTTCCTCTGTCATGAACTTCTGGCAAACATTGTTATTCAACAGAGTTAAAGATGATTTTACCTCAGAGCTATTTACCTCTGAGATTGTTGTATATTGGCAAAGAAAAGCTTATTGCTTGAAGCAGAAATATGTGACAGACCCTTTTTAAAAAGAAAAGCTTATTTCCAATTTTATTGCATCAGGAGCTAAAGAAACAAAATATTTTCTTTTTGCAATTTTTTACTCAATGTTATATTTCTTTTCAATTACCTTCCATTTTGAGAAAAAATATTCATGAATATAAATGGGGCAGAATTTATTTCAAATACCTAATACTTTGTCTATGCAATAAATCAAATGTAGAACACATTCCTCTCAGAAATCTATAGTGCCAAATTTGAGGATGCAAATTAACAATTTCAGTCAAGTGAGAAAGAAAAAAAAGTTAACTAATAACAGGCTTAAAATGAAAGAGTTTTCAGAGCTAAGAATTAAAAGCGACACTAGCCAAGACTCAAAATATGTTAACAAAGTATAATCCCTATAACCCAAAATAAAAATAACTTGTTCTCATGAAATTACACACTTTTACACCATCTCTTAAAAAACAAAAACAAAAACAAAAAAAAACCACAAAAACCCCCCAAAGCTAACCAAAACTCAGAAAATCTGTGTATTTCTTTAGTTCATACTTTGTGAGGTAACAGTTTAGACTTTGTGACTCCGTATGCTTTCAGATGAATTTTGGTTTTTTTTTCTGCATGGATGCCCTAATGTTGAACAAATTCCCTCAGCTGCCTGAAAGTTGGTACAATTCTTCTTCTCTTTTCTGTGGTTCTTTGTACTCTCAAAATCTTTGAATGTATTTCTGAGTTTCTGATATTTGTATAAAGCCATATATGATTATATGTGTGAGGTTTCTCAGACAGCTTTGGAAACAACTGAGGTTTTCTAGCTGATGGCAGTGGTACAATTACAGTTAGGTATTTCTAGGTATTGCTACCAAGTTTTACATGTTAAGACTAAAGTATCTTT